CTAAAAGTATATCAGTGGCTGTTGCTGATGATAAAGACACAAGTGAGAGAGAGAGAGAGAGAGAGAAAGAACAAGATAGCTTCCAACTACAGGCAAGCGAATACCCAATGTGTTTGAATAAGATCTTGTTTTAAAATATAATTGATTTGGGGAGGAGGGAATTTAAATTTTGACTTTTTAAAAATACCATGTGATAAGTTAGCATTTAATAGCACTTGTTAGTATGTAATTTCAGCCTGACTCCTATTTGTGGCAAGGTAAACTCTGGCAATTTCAATACAGAAAGTCCCAAATTGTGGCCTTTGAGTGTGTGTGGTGATGGTTTTACACACGCTTTTAAGATGCTGTTTTTTCACCTCTGAAAATAATCACTACTTTACTTCTGGACTAGTGTGCCTCTAGGACTTCTTAAAATTTCAATTTATTTTCCTTTTTTAGTTTTTCATTGAAAAGTAGTGTGTAAACCTGTTGTTTCACTTGTTGAGACCCAGGAATTTTTTTCTTGGGCTGCTCTGCAAAAGCTATACTCAGCAGCAATTGAAAATGAAGGCTTTAACATATCACTTTTTTTACAGTAATGCATTACTGAAGCTGTACACTTTTAACCTCCTAAGAGCCAAAATCAGGTGTCATATACACTATTCTTCCACTAAAGCAGCCCCATTGTTCCCTTTAAATGATGGTCTCTAAATCTAAGCTAAATACTGGGTTAGTGCAAGTCTTAACTCATCATTTGAGATGCAGTAGTATCTGTCGTAGCATTTTTGAAAATAGCCAAGTGGGCTCGAGCTGTTGGCTTATTGTATCTTATTGTCCTGTATTTTGTTCTCTTCCACCAGCTGATCTACATGATGGCTACCACATATAACTATGCTGTTTTGAAGTTTAAGAGTCGGGAAGATTGCTGCACTAAATTCTAAATTGTATAAGCCCAGTAAAGAGCTGCATTATGTAGCTTGACATACCACTGACACCCTAGACTAAGAGTCTAGTTTTTGAATTTTGTTACAGTAATTTTGTAAATAGCTTTGATAAGCTCATTTAGCATACCTAGATTAATAAAATGGCTTATTGTATATGAATTATGATGTGGATGAGATCTGGCTATTTCCTACACATTGAGAGGATTCAGTTACTTCAGGGATGTTGTACACCATGCTTTGAAGATAGGAAATAACTGGAGATGTTAAATTCCAAACTGTCATCTCTAAAACAAAGACTGGAATGGTTAAATGCCAATCACTAATTTCTCCCTTTTGCCTGCTACTTGCTAGTTTTTAAGGAGATATACAAGACCAGTCCCAGTCACTAAATTTTTGGCTGAAAATACAGAGCATATATTTATGAAATATTCTGTTTCCAGGTCATTTCATAGCCTGCATTTGCCATGTCCGATTGATAGACCCACAAGGCACAACCTGTCAGCGAAGCTGAGAAAATCCACAAAAATGAAAACTAGCATTTTTTTTAAACTAACTGCCAAGGTGTGCTCTCTTGAAAATGAAAATATATCATTCTACAGCTCTGCGTAAAACAATCACCTTCTTACTAGACTCCAAATTCACTAAGGGACAGCAACTGAGTAGCTTCTATGCTAATAGCTTTCACATTAGTAACTGATTTCTCAGTAGCCAGATCTCAAAATGTAAGTATAATTATATGGGAAAGAAACTGCGTGTAGATTTAGATATTTTCACACTGCTGAAAAGGTACAAGAGAGTAGAGGTGTTTGTTTTTCAGATGTAGATTTCTTTTGCATGAAATATGGTGAAAGGAAATTGGGAAGAATTTACTACGTGAAGTGAGAGGAACATTTTTTTAAATATGCTCACTTTTTACCAGAAAGTAGATAATGGCAGATGATAAATGTAACTTAGACACAAAAAAAAAAAATCCACTAAAACTTGTTAACCCAGAGACTGCAGGCTTTTGCTTAATTTTGGACTCACATTTGTTTTTATTTAATTTTTTCCCCGTATGTTAAAATGTAGCATTTTTTTTCACAAAAAATAAATGCTGTTTGCAATTTTAGGCATTTTTCCAGGGGGGAGATGGAATTCATATCTGCTCTCTAGCAGGGAGATAAAGGCTCACCAGAATTCTTGTGCTCCATGTAAACAAGTTAGAGAACTTAGTTTCTCTGAACCTGCAGAAAATATATACCTGACGATTGCAAAAAAGTCTTTGTTTTTTGCTTTTTTCCCCCCATACTACATTTTAACTGATCAGTGACTCTTTAGCTCATGTTTACTACTGTTGCATACTAACCCTCTAATAAGCAAACTAAAAGACAAGCATGCAAAAATTCTAGGTCTTTTCAAATGAGCCTCTGTGCCCGTTTTAATACCAGAATGCCTATTAATGTAGAATAACTTTGTTTTTTTTAAAGAGTGTCTATTAATCTGACTAGCCGCTTGCTTTGCCTCTTGACATGCTCACTAGCCATCATGCTCACCCTTCTCTTCCAGATCCACTTCCTCATGATACTGTCTTCTAACTGGGCCTACTTAAAGGATGCAAGCAAAATGCAGGCCTACCAGGATATCAAAGCAAAAGAAGAGCAGGAGCTTCAGGATATCCAGTCTCGGTCAAAAGAGCAACTCAATTCTTACACATAAATGTTTGCCAGGGTAATTCCACTGAAGAATTTTTGTAGCTCTGACAAATCAGCAAACAGCTGCTCTGCAGTTCAGATTTATGTCCAAACAAACATAGAAGTGTAAAACTTCATATTTAAGTTCCTGGGACATGTTCAAAGAGAAACCTTCCAGTGTGTAACATTCCTTCGTTTAATACAGAGATTGGAGGTTTCATTCCCGGCATTTTAAAAGGCAACACTTTGCAACAAGTGACCAAATAATTCATCCTTGTAAGACTTTGCTATGCTAGCATTTGGCCAGGATTCAATCTTGTGTTGTAAGTTCAGAATTGCAGCAGATGATCAAGACCAGCAGGTAGCAGATCAGAAGCCGTATACACTTTGCACAGGCATACTTACATAATTTAACAAGACTCCTTGGTCTGTGTAACATGAAATAGGGGCTAGCTCAGATTTCTAATAGCTCATGTTTGTTTAATGTCAGTTTCAGCCTTTCCATAAACCAGACTTCCAAAATGGCAGTCTTTCAAATTGCTATTCTCATGGGCTAAATGACTGATGTCCACTGAGCAACAGCCTTATCTCCAGTGTGCCACAGTCATTATTCTGTACTTACTACCTGGGTAAACTACATACTGATTAGTTGATTGAGTGTCCTGAGGCTAATTTTTAATTATTTGATAGAATGTAAACCCTTAAGTCAGGATAATGATCACCTTCTTAGAAAATAAATGTCAGCTTGGCCTTAAATATTTATTTTCTATAAATGCCTTAGCATTTATATAGTAGCAGGAGACCATTATCCTGTGTTTTTACGTGAAAAGTGTTACCTTATTAAAATGACACTGATTTGACTTTTGCAAATGAGCAGAGTAGTAAGTTTGCAGAGTTTCATGCAAAGTGTGTAAAACATTACAGCCATAAAGTAGAACACAAGCTGGCAACCTTTCTCTACTTCGGTGCTTCACAAATTTACAGCCAGTGCTTATTCATTTTCTCTTCACTAATCAGATATTGCAACAAGAAAATGTGGTGTTTGGCAAAAAATACCTGGTGCCATATTGAAGTAATTTTCCACAGAAGTCTGCCTTCTAATTGTTTTTTTTCAGAACTATCCAGTGATATCTTGAGTATTAGTGATGGTATATTTGGTGTTTGTTCTTTACAATATTATATATATATAAATATAAATGTTGAAGAAAACAAATACAGTCATTTGAAAAAAAATAGTAAAGTCAAGTCCTATGCCCATGTTAAGTTAACGTGTGGTTTGATAGTTTTGACTGTTTGCTGAATATTAAATAAAAGGAAGCACAAATTTCTTTAGGTAAGTCCATATTATATGGAGACATTTTCAGATATGATCTGCAATTGAATTTTTGGTTAAATACCTAAAGTCTAATTTGACAGTTTAAAAAATGAGGCAGTCTATGTAGAGCAGATACGACAATAGCCTAGTGTTTGTTTTACCTGTTGCATGAAGGAGACATTTCTACAGCAATGCAGGTGATGTTCTAGCCCAGTGTTTGCATAAGGGTAATGAAGGCAGTGTCTTAAAGCCTAATTCTTTTCTAATTCAATGTAGCTATTACTGGGAGTTTTTGAAGTTTTGTTTAAGTAGTCTAATATTTTTATGTAAAGAGCATTAAATTTTGCTATGTATAAATTTTTGTAACCTAACAGTGAATCAATATTTTCTATCAGTGCCAAGGGCTTCCTGTAGTTATATCCAAGTGTTACAATAAATATTTGTAGATAATAGAGACGATGGTTGTATATGCTTATTTTAAGAACTTTTCATACTTTTGGCTCTGCAAGCAAGGGCAGTAAGGTAACTTTATTCTGATGAATTTCCATTCTACGCAGCTCTTGAATTGCTGTGACACGTTCATCTTGAGTAAAAGAAACAGCTTTCCTTCAGTTATTAACTGTTACCATTACCAATGCCTTTTGCATGTCTGCTCAGCCTTGGTGACACTGCAGCTGGAGTTCTGCATCCAGTGCTGGGTGCCACACTTCAGGAAGGATGTGGAATAGCTGGACAGAATCCAAAGGAGGACCACATGTATGATTAGAGGCCTACAGAGCAGGTCTGACAAGGAGAGGCTGTTCAGCCTGGAGAAAAGATGACTCAGAGGAGACTTGATAGCAGCCTATACGTATATCAAGGGTGTACGTCAGGGCCTGGGGAAACATCTGTTCACCAAGGTTCCCCGGGGGTGGACAAGAAATAATGAGCACAAACTGATTTGAGGATCACTTCAAGCTAGACGGAAGGAAAAACTTCTTTACAAGTTTAAAAGTTGAGTGCTGAGAGTTTGGAACAGGCTCCCCACAGGTGGTACAGTCACCCACCCTGGCAATACTCAAAGAGCATCTTGGTGTCCATCTTGCTGGGGTCATCTGATCCCAACAGTCTTTCCTGCCCAAGTGCAGGGGAGTTGGACTCAATCTGTAAGGTCCCTTCCAGCCCTAACACCTAGGAAATGCTAGGATAATGTCCTCAGCTGATTTACCATGCTGTACAAATGTATTTAATTAAAATGCTGTAGCAGTTTTAAGCTGGTCTCTCACCAACAGGAATGTTACATGCAGTGACCAGGACAACTGTTAGGCTAGAGAACCATATCAATAATATCTTTTTTCTCCATACTTTGTAGAGTAGGAAGCCTTCCTGATTACTGATGTACAGCTGCTATCTTAAGTTTCTTTGAATACTCATCCTACTGTGCTCCTGTGTATAGTCAAATGTATCCATCCTCAGGAACAGAAGTCTTATTTAACTCATTTTTTAAAAATGATGCCAGAAAGCTGTGAGTTTTCACCAGGTTTTCAAGCCAGATCGCTTACTATTAAATACACTGGTATCAAAGGCAGGACTTTGAATCTGAAACAACTGAAAAATGGCATTAATGTGTTCAGTTGGCAGAGCTGCAGATTATACATTATTTAGGTTCAGAATGACCAAGTACAGGATGCTGGTACATTACACCTTTAGTAAGCTAGCTCTATCAGGAGTATTTTCCTGCAATCCTAAAGAATGTTTCAGCATTAGACCTAATTGGCAATTAATGAACTACTCAATGCACAGCTGACACACTTTATTATTAAACACCCCCTCCCCCCCAAGAACAGTCTACAAAATGCAACCCCCAAACTCATAGTAGTCTTGTTGCATCACTCTTGTGGAGTAGCTAAAGCATCAGAAGAGACAGAATGCAGTAGGGTCACTTGTTTAAATGTGTGGGGGATTGTTCCTGTGTATATCACTGCTTCTATAGAAAAGTACTTAAGCTAACTCCAGTCAGCACTGTTAAAACTATACTGTTCTCCAAGTAACATCTGTCTGTAGGAATACATTAAAAGTAATTGTCCTATCTGAGCTTTATAATAGTTACTTAACATGCTTTTCATAAAATCAAGGTAAGCACCCTGTGGGGGGAAGGGGACCACTTTCAAATCTACTTTGCCTGAATTTTATCATAAGTTAATACCTGTGAATGTGTAGCAGACCCTTTCAGATGAGCACTCAGAATACTGTGTAAAGATGGGGAAAGTTGTGGTGATACTTAACACACCAAGTTAAAGACCCCTTGCTTACTGGTTAGCAACTGTTAGTCATAGGTGGTATTCTTAGTACTATTCAACCTGTTAGTTAGTTACTCCGGGGGCAGTTACTGTTTTAAAATTGTATGCTGTTCTGTAACAAACTATACCCAGTTCAACTCCCCTATTCAGGCATATTAAAATAAAAGCAGTTCTGCTGCTGCTTCATCCTGCGTTGTGCTGGCACTGAGGAGAGATCAGTCAATGCTGTTCACCAGAAGTCTTCATCAGGGCCTCCATGAGAAATGCCTGCAACACTAAATTTGGAAAGAGAGGGAAAAGGAGTTATGAACAGACTGTAAAGCAGGATCTTACCTAAAGTTTACACATGCAATGTAATTGCATAGAAAAAAAGGTTACTAGCAAGTGGACCGTGTTCTCATACTGGCTCAGAAGCCAGCCTTTCAAGTTACTGTTCCAGACACTGAAAGATATTCAGACATGTAAATCCTAGTGATTTCAGGGGGTCATTGATACCTAAACACCTTTAGAATGTGGCTACTGACAAAGGACTCAAACTCTACTTTAAGTGGTAGTAACAGAATACTAGTGACTGAAAATCTTTTCATACAAGGAAATCATCCTCTCAGAAATTAGTGCTTATACAGGTTTCACTCATTTATGCACGTTCTGTATGTGTGAATTCACTCTTATACGATGACCTTTTTTATACCAAAAATTCAATATATGCAAGGTAAATTCACTTTCATGCAATCAGTGTGGTGGAAGCTTGCAGTCAGCTGCTTTGTGCTGTGCATTGTGGGAGTGACCCGCACCAAGATATAGTTTCCTGTGTGGATCTGTGCTCCTTGCTCGTCTGCGACACGTGTTTCTGTAGTTGCCATCCCCACTATGGTAACATTCACCACCCCCTTGTGCTTGTGTGTACTGTCTGCTGTTGTTGAGTACCAAAATTGTCTTGTAGAAGTGGTAGTGGTAGAGCTGACGTCTTGGAATATATCCTTATCCGTTCCATTGTAAAGTGGGTTCCCTTTACGAATTTGAGTTGTGTTTGTTTTCCAGGAACACATGCAGCATAAAGTGAGTGAAACCTGTATCTGATGCTGAAGATGAGCAATGTCTTGTTTTGCATGGGAATTCCTCGTCAGAACTCAGGCACAACTTCACAGTAACGTGGTTAGCATGAGATTGGAGAAAAATATGGCAAGGGGGAAACAAGCTCAGTTACAACCCACAAATGTGTATCACCTGAGGAAATACAATATTGAAAATGTTCAAAGCAACCTGTTGCTGTTCTACCTGTGCCAGGTTACCTTAACTTCCAACAGAGGTAGGGTGCAAGAGGACCAATGACAAGCAAATAGCCTGCAGGGAAGTTGATCACTGTTTCTCAAAGGGATAAAGCCATTGGGAAGTAGGGATGGTTCAATATTACTTGAGTACTTCAACAATGTCTCCATATAGCCCAAATGCACAGCATAGGGTTGACAGGATAAGGAGTCTTTCATTTGGTCTAAGCCAATGTAGTTCAAACATAACAGCTACTTTGCGATCAACATGAAACAAATAGCTAGTTACAGGCTACAGCCTGACTAGGCAGATACTTATCTGACCAAATCTGCTACTAGTGTTTTTTCCAGAGAGGACAGACATTTGACACGCGCCCACTGTAGTGAAACCAGCAAACTCAAAAGACAGGAGGCATTGTAACTAGCAGCAGAGAGCCTCCCTAAAAAGCAAGGTACATTAAACAGTAGAGTTGCTCTACCTCCACACAGTAATCCATAGGCTAAATTTACTCTAAAAGCTTTATTACCCCAGGGCAGTTCCTTCTCAGCTGAGTACAATACAGAGATTATATTGCTGCTATCCTATAAATAACTGGTTTGGCAACAGCGGTGCTAAAACTATTGGATTCAGTTGCTTAACGTTGTTTTAAAATTGTGCTGCCATTCACAATAAATTCTTCATTGCAGGAAGAAAAAAGGGGGGGCAGGTGGACAGCCTGCTAAAGAAAAAATTAAAAAATGGCCTCTTTAACTTAAAGGAGTATTACACTGAAAAATCCTGCCTTTGTTCTACTTGTTTAAGAAACAAGTTTGTCTGTATATCCATTTTGTTTTTAGACAGTCAATATTTAAGCATAAAATCCAACAGTATTCTCAAGCGAGTACTAGTGACAAAAATAACAACAACACCACCACCACCAAGAACACATCAGCCTTACCTTTCCTCTTTATCGCTAGACATTAGTCTTTCCATCAGTGATACTTCTTCCACTTCCTCTTTTACCAAGTTCTGGTAACAGAAGGAAACATTACATGTTATCCAGTCCTTTGGCCTAATTTGCTAGTGTAATATAGCACATAACCACATACAGCTAAAGCAAAGATAAGCTATTTTTGTAAAAAAAAGAAAATTTGATCTGTATGTACACAATGGCTTCAAAAACAAGATGCATTAGAAAACACCAAGCACACTGCCAATAATATGGTACTGCATCAAAAGAAAGTGACAGTTAGGATAACATTTTGTAAGCATGAAGATTACCACCTGCATTTTACTGTTTTATGGACTAGGTAAACAGATTTTGGCAGTTACTTTAAAAAAATAAATAAAAAATAATAGTAAATCAGGCCATCGGTTTTAACTGGCCTCTGCTTAGCTGCAACATTTTGGAATCAACTAAAACTAAATATAAATATTCTATTGTACGTTATTTCCTCACAATCAAAAGTATTTCCTTTGCAAAGCTTTATATTCCGCATGTGACCTAGCCAAAATCCCTTAGAACAACACTAAGGGACACAAGGACCACAACCCCAACTAGCTAACCAAGCAACTGTATTATAAACTTGCTCATTGCTCTTACATTAACTTTGCCAGTGAAGAAATGTATGAGAAAACAAGGTTCAGTTCAGCATTCTCTTACCTCCTGACTTAGATGTATATTCTTCAAGACAACACTGTCCTAGAAAGTCACTATTTGACCTCACTCCTACACCCTTTAATTGTCCACCGTATTAGCCAATATTACCTTGCTTGCCAGCTCCTGCTCTCTGTTCTGCTGAATAATTTTCATGTATTTTTCTAAGGGAGTAGGAAGAGGATCAGCCAAATCACGTTTGGCATCAGGAATACCAATTTCTGACTTTTTGCCTTGAGCATCTTCCTCTTTTCTTTCCATTTTCAATGAATCTTGGATCAGCTTCTAAGCAATACAACACAAACAACACCCAGGAATATATCGTGCTGACTGGCCATAAGAAAAATATTTAAGACAATCATGTATGGAGCTCAATATATTGACATATTAATTTCAGTACCATGTCAGCCTAACCTGCAAACACTAACCTATGAATCATTTTGAATATTATCTTCATTGTTACATTTGCTACATTCATTCTGAGCCTGCAGTCATTGCATAGGAAAAACATGCTCTAGTCAATGGAAGTTTTGCGTAGATGAAATTGAAGGATTGGAGTTTTGTGATACTTCTATACTAAACTGATACCCAGACTGTTATTTGTATTCAACTTGTCCTAATGCTACACATAATACTTAAATACCCTATGGCATATACCATACTGACCCAAATCCAAGACTACTTCAAATTCAAGGTGACCCTCCCAATTATTTGATTCTATAAATGGCATAATTATAAAATTTGTTATAATTTAATTTGTAGAATTGAATAATTGGGAGGGTTATTTTAAATTTGTCCCCCCAAAGCTGTCCTTTGCTCCCAGACCTCTTGCCTCCTATACCTATGCTTACCCCTGCTGCCTTCTCTCCCGGCCACTTGTCTCCCCATGCCTGTGTCTGCCCCCATCGTGCAGCATTGGTGGGGGGCACCTGCAAGGGCAAGCACTGCAGTTATGGGGAGGAAAAGAGGGGGAAGCATCCAAAGAGTGCCCTGGTATAGACTGCATAGTGTGCATAGGTCTTTCACATAATTGGGTTTATCTGTTTAAACTGTTCTTTCCCTGATCTGTGATTACTTCTGAGAACATCACTGTTCCCCAGAATTAGCATCCACTTTCCATTTTAAATGATTGCTTTCAGTTATACAAAAGAATTGTAAAAAGTAATCGTTCTACCTGACATTTAACTTGAGCTGTTTCTGGGTTTTTTTCTGGACCTGAGGAAGGGCATTTTATGCTACAAAGCTGTCAAACATCTCCCTCCAACTATAAAGCTGGTCCAGTAAAAGAGATAACCTAACAAACCTTGCTTAATTCTATTGCACATATTCCCTAGATCATCACAGCTATAACACCACTATTAAGGAAGTTAATATAGTCTATTGGAATTGTTATGTGGTTTGTTTAGTTCAAAGTATACAGTACAACATTATACAGCATTACTACGGGAATTTTAAATGTTATGTCACCATTTCCTCATTCAGTTTTTCTAGTTCTCTTTGCTCTTTTTCCAAAGCTTCCTGTCGTTCTCTCTGCCTTCTTTCTTCCCTTTGTTTCCTCTCTTCCTCCCATTTTTTCTCATCATCTTCTCTTTGCTGATCTTCAGACTCTCTTTGATTAACTGCTGCTGTAACAGAGTTATTTTTACATTTGTAACATTTGACATACTAAGTTTGGTTACTGCATTGTGTAAGTGCAAGTTATAAACGAGAGGAGATAAGCAGTTCAGGAATGCATTTAATACACTGGTATTCAACATTGGGTAAGATGGAAAACAGATAAGCAGCAAATAAAATGTACAGAAAGAGCCTAAAACCACCGTGCAAGTTCATGAAAGCACAATATCATTAAGATGAAACATTTCTTCCCATTATTATGTCTTCCTAGCTTATTGGTTACCCAAAGAATCCCTAGGACTCCTAAGCAGAAAATGAATGGGACAGCCTTGTAACTTTCAGAGGGACAGGCTGTCAGGATAAATGTATATATTCTTGCTCTGCCACAGACTTCCTGGATGACTGAAAATTTTGCTCTAACCTGGATGATTCGCTTAAAACAGCTCAAATACATGCTTAGATCAAGCTTCCAAAGATGGGGTTTGATTTAAGTTGTGAACGTAGACTTCTACAGGGGAAAATATTTAAGTGGCAAGTACAAAAAGTCCTCAACTTTTCTCAGTTTTCCCATCTTTAAAACAGACATTGCTACTTGCCTTCCTCACAGGAATGTTGCGAGATTTGTTTCTTTAGTGTTTGTAAAGTGTTTTACGAAACGTAAATAGAAGGTTCTATATAAAAAGGCAAGTATTATAAATAGCCACTGAGGAAAAAATAATTACAGAATATCTATGCTGTCAGGTAAACACTAGTCACTTCTATGAAGTAGCACTTTTTACCAAAAGCTATTTGAAGCTCAAAAACTACACTGATAAAAAATTACTGTATCTCTGAATGGTATGGAAACACAGGAGAAACTGTGTGTTTCATTGAAAGCATTGATATTGACCCATGCAAGTGGCTTATATCCTTTCCCCATTAGTCAGACCAACACATTTAGTGAACTGGTATTCAAAATAATCACCAAAGACAAGCACCTATTAAGAAAAAGAAATTTCAGAAAACTTCAGATCCGTCACCCCAGACAGCAACTATAATGGAAGTTAAAGATATCTTAAAACTCCCAAAGAAGTCTTTAGATCCAAAACACAAATGATTAAATTAAAGCAAAGCTAAGAGAAAGGCATGAAAAATCATCCTATGGTAAATCCAAAATTAACAAAATAGCCATGTTCCTTTCTCTTCAGCACATAAGCACTATCTTTGAGAGAAGTTTTCAATCAGTTTGATACATATAATTACAGAATGCTAAATTTGGTGCTTTTTTGTCTAATGCATTTGCCATGTAAAGGGGGTATTCACTTTTGTTTCCAAGCTGAGAACTCACTTAAGTCCTGCTGTGAAGTGGCTGTTGCTGGCACAGTGTTTGTGACATGGCTTCCATTGACAGTGTTCCCAGATGGATGTGACACATCACTTTCGAACTGCTCTGGAATGTCCCCTTGATCTGGACAAGAAGTTTGAACAATGGCTTCATTATTTTGCAATTATAGTAGCGGGACAAAGGAATAGACACAAAGTGTGGGAATGGCTGAGTTAGAATACAGACATTTATGCCATTCATTAATTAAGCACTTTCCCCAACAAACTCCACCATTTCAAGGAAAATTAACAAGCAAATAGCCTGCACTGACTGTAATCATTGAATTGTTTGGCTTTGAAAAAATAACTGTTGCAATCCCCATATATACTAAAGCACTGGCATAAATGACATAACATACATGCATAAAATAAGATGTTTTAAAAAAACATAAGTAGATATCTATCAATAATTACAGAATGTTCAAAATCCATTTTTCTTCTCAAAATATTTACTTATGCATATTACATACATACACACACTGTCTCTCAAAGGCTACAAATCAGGCAATCAAAAGCTAATAAATCCCAAAATTACAGTAGCCTGTGCAATCTTAATTCATTTTCCTTGTGCAAATGCATTAAGAGACAGTCACATCATAATCACATATTGCTTTTTTTCTCAGTATCGCTGCCTCATTCAGTATAAGTGGACAGGACAAGCATACAGCTCCCTTAAATTAATACTTATTTATTATTTTATTTCCTCTTTCTAGTTCAGTACATGACCACAGGGTTTAGCCATGTACAGACATTCAAATACTCCTGGGAGTGTGGCAGCTGTCCCAGGAGACACCAGGAGTGTACAGATGTTCAGGATTTTTCTCCCAGAGCAAAAATGGCCGGGCCAGGAGAAAAATAACTTGGGAACAAGGACTGAATCACTCCCAGGAAAGTTTCTCTTGGAAGAATGAATGTCTGCACGCATCCTCTTCTGTGAGAAGCCACAGCAGAGTGCTTTCCTTCTGCGGCCCTTCCCCCTACCCCACCTCACCCCCCAGGAGACTGTGTTGCTGTGGGATGGGTTGAAGGAGTCTAGTGTTAATCAGATATTACATTCCGGACCCAAGAAACTTTCCAATACTAGTTTCAGCGGCCTGATATGTTCTGACAATACCAGCAGCCTCAGCCTTTAGCTGCAAATTTTCAGCTCTTCTACAAATCAGATTAGTCAGAGAAATTAAAAAAAAAAAAGTTTGTTAGCAACCACTTTATGGAAGTTTGGCTTAAATAATTTCCCTAGTGTCACAGAGGAATCACACTATGTAAGCATGTTCTTTTTCCCCAACACCGTGCCTCCTGTTAAGCTCCATCCAACCTCTACAAAAATGAGGAAGGGTTGACTGAGGACTGTTTTGTAATGAGCATGCAGAAGGAGGGCAAATTAAGGTGGTCCAGGTAACCGTAATTCTGACATTTCTTCACTTCTAAGTGTTTGGCTGAAGCAGTTTGACTTTCTTCTAATGTAGGTTTTTGTGTAACTAGCCTTATTTCAATCCCATTCTTCACCAGTCCCTACTAGCTGAAAGATCCTCGGCCAATCTCAGGGTCCCAAGCACTGCCCACCCCGACCCTCCTTCAACTTTTGCTCAGTCAGTTTCAGAGTTACACTGTAGCTCTTCAACTGATTTGTCTCCCCCCTTCCTACCACTTGCTTCCAAACACTGCTGTCTTTGTCCAGCCAGTCCCAGTCTCACCGTATCCAACCCCAAGTGATTTATCCCTCCACCAAATCCAGTCCCAATCTCCCCTGCTCACTAGGCCCTTGTACCAATTTACTCTCTGTCCTACCAGGTCCAGCTGTTTTCCTGCCTATGCTTGAATGATTCAGCTTCCTCCTCCGCACTGTCTGCAGGGATGGGGACTGCCAATACATGACAGGTGGAGTCCCTTTTCTCATTTCAGGTATCTGGCCCCAGCATGGTTTGCAGCAGATCAAAGCTGCAACTGCAGGAACAACCACAGTCAGAGGCTGAAACATGCTTGGTAAAGATTGAGACTTTGGAGTCCCTAACTGCAATGCACTAGCAAGTCTTAACTCAATATGTACAAACTGGATAATTTTTCATAAATCAGGCCTAATTTGAGTGGATTTTTCACAGGATGAGTAAAGAAAGTTCCCTGACACAAAGCCCTTTACCTGTCAAATTCTAAATCCCTTCTCCAAAGCATGAGGTGCTAGAGCTTCTCTAAATATAAATTGTCAGAAATTTTTAATATGAACAAAGCCATGTAGTATTTGTTAGCCTTGTCAGAAACTGGTAAATGCTTTAATTTGATTTTTTTTGACATTTTCAGCCCAAACCAATTGCCCAGCACAAAAATTTCAGCCTAAATGGTTTAAGTCCAATAAAGTTATTAGTGACTGAACAGTCATATAAAGGAAAGTGTATACATTATATAGCCTGACAAAGGGTATTTATACCTGAAAGCTTGCAAAGAAGAATTTTCCCAACTATTTGAGTTGGTCTAATAAAAGATATCAGATTTACCCAAAGAAACTTGTCTGCCTATAAATGAAAGTGTAAGACAATAGTAATAACAGGTAGTCCTACCAGCTATGCCTACAGTCATATGTATAGATCGCATTCTTAAGTGGTAGATAACCAACTGGGTGAAACATCTATTTCAGATCCACCTGGTATATTTTTCTTGAGTTTCTATGAAATTAGTCTTAAATAACCTTTATTAATAAAAACAAGGCTACACAAACATTTTATATATATATATTAATTGATACGTAATCAATAATACCACAATCCTTCCTGTTAGATGTCAGAATATGGCTCTGTATACACCATGCTTGAAACAGCAGAATCTTGTGTGTAACACAATTACACCATTACTGTTGTTCTCAGATATGGTAAACTTCATTAACCTTTAGAAACAGAACTGATTTGGATAACTGGAAAGGAAAAACTAATTAGCAAAACTATTTTATTACTCTGTTAAACAGCAGCAGTAGTAACAAAAAAGTTGTTAAAAATAAAATTGAAAATATTTAAGTTTATATATCCTTATTTATATAATCAAAGAACACACTGCACATTTTGCCATCACTCAACTACAATTATATGTTATACTGATGGCTAAAAAACAACCAACCTCACAAAAACAGAACTAGAATGTCAATGGTAGCCTATGCAATGAAACTAACCGTTTAAAACACAAAAAGCATTTTACTTTGGGTGAAGATGAATGGTAAAAGATGCAGCACCACTATAATGGTAGAAATTTATTACAGACAACCAAATCAGGAAGAGGAGGTGGATGAGGCGCTTTTCAAGCAGGTGACATCTATCCAAAAGCTATGGGATGGTACTGATGGGAACCTTCAGTTTTATGAACATTTGCTGAAAGAACAATGCAGCCAAACATTAAATGTCAAGGTGGTTCCCAACTTGTGTGGAGGACAACTTTTTCTTCCAGAAAGTGGAGGATACAACTACAGGAGCTTCTATCTTGAATCCTGTCCTGATCAACAGGGAAGAATTGGTGGAGGATGTGAAGCTGATGGGTAACTTCAGAGGAAGTAATTACAGTACAATAAAATTCTAAGTCACCAGAGAGGCAAAGCATGTGGTCAGCAAATGTAAGACATTAGGCAAAAAGGCAGATTTCATCAGACTTAGGGAGTTAATAGGCACGGTATCACGGGAGAATAGACCGAAGGATAAAGGCACCCAGAAATGCTGGGAGCTTCTAAAGGGCACAGTATTAGAAGCTCAACAAGAAACTGTCCAGACATGATGGAAGCACAAAAAAATGGCAAGAGACCAATGTGGCTGCACAAGGCACATCTAAAATGCCTGAAATTAAAAAACCCCCCAAAAACAAAAAAAAACAGGCATTGGAAGAAAGGGTTAAGGAAGCATACCACAAAATAGTAAGAACCTGCAGGGGCAAAAATCAGGAAGGGCAAAATAAAGAACTAGCAACACCTGGCAAAGGATGTTAAGGAAACAAGAAGCAGTTCTGTATGTATGCTGGCCAGAAAAGAAGAGCCAAAGAAGCTGTAGGTCCTCTGTTAACAAGCCAGGGGGAACTCCTAACAGAAGATGCAAAGAAGGTGGAGCTACTCACAACAGCTACTTTGCCTCAGTCTTCACAAAAAAAATGAAGCTGCAGCCAGACACCTAATAAGGATTATCTGTATAAGGAAGAGGGCAAGCTGAGGGAGGAGATAACAAGAGACAGTCAGAGAGCTTTTGTAGGGTCTGAATGAATTCAAAATCAGCAGGGCCGGATGAGCTTCATCCCTGAAGGAATTGGCAGAGAAGATCTTGGAGGCCTTGACAATCATATATTCATAAAGTTGTAGGAGACAGGCCAGGTGCTAGAGGACTGGAAACTGGTCAACATAGTGCCCCTCTTTAAAAAAGGCAAAATGAAGAACCTGGGGAACTACAGACCTCACCTCAATACCTGGGAAGTTACTGGAGCATATCCTAGGGAAGGCCATTTGCAAGCATCTGGAGGAAGGTCTGATTGCAAGCTGCCATCATGGATTTATGAAAAACAAATCATATCAAACAATCGTGATCTCTTTCCTTGCCAAAGTAACTACTTGGGTGGATAATGGGAATGCCATGGATATAGTGTACAGGCAGTCCTCAGACTTACAACACAATTGGTTCCTGAAAACCATGTTTTAAGTCGAAACATTGCGACTCAGAAATGATTTTCCCGTAGGAAACAATGTTATATATGGGGAATTGGTTCCTCAACCAAGGCCCGATACCCTATTTTCACCAAAAATAACCCAGAATTTTGTACTCAATCAATTATAGATGAGTAATATAGCTACATTAATGTATTTATCTTGTAAATAGCATGATACTGATTTGGAAGGACTTCTTTGATGAGACTTCTCTGGACTTTTTGAAGGGTTCTTGGCTGGAGTCTTCTCAGGAGTCTTGGCTGCAGATTTTTCTAGAGTCTTGTCTGCTTTCTTAAAGACTGTGTCCAAGGAAGTTGGGATAGATGTTCTCCAGGGAGATGAGTGATGCAGCAAACTTGTTCGCTGGCATGGTGTGACATCGCATTGGATCAAGCGTTGTAAAGTTGAAACTGACGTCATAAAGTTGA